CAGGAGATAAAGTAGGCTAAGGGACAAGGAGATAATTTTCACACATCTCTACAGGCCACAGAGGTAAAGGTGTGAAATGTCGGGGTCTCAAGAGCAAATGGAGAAAGCTAATACTTACAGAGCATTTACTTCTGACATTAGGCTCACTGTTAAGCCTCAAGTGATCAGTTTCTCAATGGCTGTGTACTCAGAACCTATGTTGTTCAGAATCTGTGTTGATTGATTCAGCAAAAGTACAACAGTACCTAATGTGTGCTAGTCACAGGGGTACAGAGATGAAAAAGATTGTTCTGCCCTTGATGAACTCACAGTCCAGATCTAGACACAGAAGCAACCAACTAAGCTGTGCTCATTTGTTTACACACTGTCTATAACTGCTTTTCCATCACAACAGTAGAGAGTAGTTGGGATAGCTGGCCTTTTACAGAAAGGTCGCTGACCCCTGTTTTAGAATGTTCCAACTGGCTGACGGTAGCACAGCACAGTAAAAACCTTATCATTTTAGAATTTTTAGTTAAATATACTCTGAAAGAAAGATTTACTGGGTCATGTGTTTCATCATTCGGACAGGTTCTGAAGGCAGGGGGAAGAAAGAATCAATTACAAAAAGAAGATAACTAAACTTTTAATAACTTCACAATCCAACTGAAGTCAATCATAACAGCTATCATTTGCAGAGCACTTATTATGTTTTAAATGCTGCTTAAATCCTTTACATATATTAGTTTCTTCACTATAAATATCTTTATTTCAAAGATGAAGGAACTGAGGCATGTGAAAATTAAATACTTTGCTCAGTTCCACAGAATTTATAAGTGGTAAAGCTGAGAAATGTCTCTTTATGGTCTGGTTCAAGAATGTGTGCTCATGCATTACCATAATAATAGCTACTGATTATTGAAAGTTTTCTGCATGCCAGACATTGCTCTAAGTTCTCTACACATATTATTTAAGCCTTATGACAAACTTATAGGGCAGGCCTAATATCTCTATTTTACAGATGATAAAGATGAAACCTAGTCAAGATAAGACTATATGGAATAAAAGACAATTATATGAGGTGCTAAAATTATGTATTCTCCATAATGCTATGACATCTCAAGGAGTAATGTTCACAAGATCCTGGGGAATCAATAAAAAAATTGATGAGAGAGATGGCATTTAAATTGGGTAAAGCAAGGGATATGACCATGCACCACTCCACTGCATCCTGTAAAGTGACATGTTTACTATTAACCATTTTTTCTTTTTTTTGCTTTATTTTATTTTATTTTTTTTAATGAGGAGTCTTACTATATTGCCCAGGCTGGCTGGCCTCAAAGTCCTGGGCCCAAGCAATCCTCCCATCTCAGCCTCTGGAGTAGATGGAACCACAGGCTCAGGACACTGCACTTGGCTAAACCTATTAATAAAGAGCAGGACAGAACAAATGTGGGAAGTGGATTCACAAAATTTTGCTTCCCAGCTCCACTGATTCATTAATTGTACAATCTGTGTGAGAACACCACTTTCTAATCTAATAAAATCTTATAAGGTGGATAAAGGGAAAGCAATATCATAGAATGAAAAAAGTTGTTAGCACAAAACAGCAAAGCCCAGCACCCTAGAGATTCTTATTATTAGGAAGACAGATAGTCAAAAATTCAGAGTAAAACCAAAGAATTCTAGACACTTGACTAAAGATAGTGGTAGAAAAGGCCAGTATTAAGAGTGGTTAAACACAGGAAGGACCACTGCCTAAGGTTACCTTGATCAATCAGCTCCTGCTGGATTTCCTCTAGCACAGCCAAGTCCATTGGCAAGCTCAACTATAAAACAAAGTGGAATCATCTTAAATTTGAATTATTAATCTGTCCCCAAACCCAACAGTAATTCATACTTAGAGGTTGGCTTAAGAACCCAGATTTGCTGGGCATGGTGGCACATGCCTATAAGCCCAGAAATTTAGAAGGCTGAGGCAGGAGGATCACAAGTTCAAGGCCAGTCTCAGCAACCTAGAGAGGTACTAAGCCACTTTGCAAGACTTTATCTCAAAATAAATAAAAAGGGGTCAGAATGTAGTTTAGTGGTTAAGTGCCCCTGGCTTCAATCTCTAGTACCAAAAACAAAATAAAAAAACAGATTTACCTGAAAAATCAGTCAGGTCCTCCAACAGACTATGCTGACAACGGGTAATGTGGTCATGTTAAGTCATTGACAAATGATCAAACTAGCCAGTGATAAAATAACACTGTCAAATTTGGGGCAGACAGTAAAGGGCTGTAGTTAAATATATGTTCTCCCAAGGTTATATAACCAGGAAAAGTTCTTAGTCTTTATAAGCCTCAGTTTTGACCTCTGTAAAGTGGGAATAAAACCCACCCAAGAGGACTATCATGAGTAGTAACTGTGGTGATGTAAGGCAAGCCACTGAACAGTGCCTTCCTATTATATAGTGCCTTGATAGTTTCAAAGCAGTTTCGGAATTTTTTCATATAGTCCTTACAATATTGACATTATTTTCTTCATTTTATAAATGTAAAAGCTAAAGCTCAAAGAGAGTGAAGTTAAGAGTCAGTAGCAAAACCAGAATTAGGATTCCTGAACTCCTGACCTCCAATCTAATACTCTTCCTGATACACCATAAACGATTTCCTATTCATATTCAGTTTCCAACTTTGGCTGAGACTGTAATCAGAATGTTCCTAGAGACTTTTAAGAAGCAAGATTCCTAGTTCATGCCTAATTAATCAAAATTCCCAAGAGTGGAGACAAAAATTTCTTTACGGTTTCGTAAGTGATTATGTTGCAAGTATGTAGCAGATCTACAGTCTAATATTTAGGAACCACTAACCTAGAATAATTTAATGTTAAAGGCAGAAGAGTCTGGATCAAAGGCTGTTAGAATTCAAATTAGGGGTTGGAGAGTCAGTGGGTTTAGAGGAAATAAATAAATAGGTACAAAGAAGACACTAGGATTTCTTCATGGTGCAAACCCCTCTCTGAAAACACTTATCCAAGCCTGACCTGAGCCAAAGCCTCTGGACAGTACTCGCTTGACTGCAAAGACTTCCATTCTTCTTCCATCACCTCTTGCACTAGAAGGGCATTCTGACCTCTCCCTGGCATACTGCTCCCAATCTGGCGGTAACTGTTCAGGAGCCTGTCCCGGCTGTTTCTCATTCTCTCCAGGCATCCCTTGGAAAAAGCAGCAAGATGGGGGGAAATTAATTCAATAAAAAAAAACAACCAAAAAAAGAAAAAAAAACAAAACTCAGATTGCTTGACAAAATGTTAAAGAAAATTTATAGACACAAAATTTCCATTATACTCCTAACTACTGTTACTTTTGCATATCCTTGTCCAGTCCTTAACTGCATATAGATTAGTAAAATTATAATACTTTGTTCACATATTTCTAGATCACCATATTTCATATTCTATCTTCAATGCCAAGTATGTAGCAGGTCGACAATCTAGTATTTAGGAACCACTGACCTAGAATAATTTAAGGTTATTTAATGTTATCCTTAATGATTGGGAGCAGAGTATCTTATTTACTATCCTATAAGAGGACATTCATATTGCTTTCAAATTCTTGCTACTTTAGAGGTGGCTATGGTAACAATGTTTCTCAACTCAAGGTGATTTTATTCACCAGGGTACATGTGACAAGGCCTGGGTGATATTTTTGGTTGTCACAACTCTTGTGGTAAGACCATTAATAATAGTTAATGGGCTAGAGGCCAGGGATACTGCATTTTACCAAGTACAGAACAGCCCTACACAATAAAAACTCTCTCTCTCAAAATGTCAACAGCCACGGTTGAGAAACAAAATTTTTCTAATATCAGATTATTTTCCTGGAATATACACACTTGGAGAGGCAGTATCTTACTAGGGACTATGTTATCTACAGAAGAGGACAGAACTGAGGAGAATTAACAATACAAACTTGGCAACAAACTCTTCTGACTCCTCTCTAGAATAAAAGCAAATTTCTACCTCACATGTCAAAACTATACAAAGTGCTTCTTTCCGTGTCCAATTAATAGCAGGGGATGGTGTTGTTGTTGTAGAGGTGCGGAGAGTGCGATCACGATCACACTTCAAGTTTTGAAACTGGCCCGAATTCAAAAAGCAAAGCTTAAGAGAGTCTGAGCCCACACAGGGTAATCCCACACCCGTCGGGCCAAAAAGCCGGAAAAGGCAGTGACCAAGACCCAGGAAGCAGCAGGAAGTTTGGGTTCCGGGTCTACCTCCACTGGCCAGGGGCTCTAGGCACCTGCCTCATAGAGCATTGAAGAGTTGAAGGCACGGAGGACAACGGCCCTTGGGATGGATTCAAGGAGTGACCATGGCCCAAACCCCACACTCACCTGCCTGAAAGCCTCTTTCCAGGACGCTGAGCCCACCTGTTTGTACAGCGAGCGTCGCTGAGATCCAGCAGGTTCTGCCATCTCTTAGAGGGAGTCGCTGCCAATTGCCCCGCCCCTGGGAACGCGCATAGACCTCTGGGAGTTATAGTTTCTGGAGAAGATCGCGCGTAGATAGCAAGGAATTCTGGGAAGTGTTTTACAGGTCAGCCCCACACGAGACTGATTTGGGCCAACTAAGGGTAGGTGGGTGGATGAAGAAGTGACGTTTATGAAGTCAAGCCAATCTGGACTAAGAGCAGTAAGTCCTGAAGGCAAGTTCTGGATGCCTGGGTTTACCCGAATGGAGGTGTTCGAGATGCAATGATATACGCAGACCTCCGTCTTTACCTTAGGTATTAGATTCCGAGCAGAGAACCAAGACTGACTCTAAAGAAGCACTGTTCTATTCCCTTTGGCCCGCCCACTTTGACTTCTTAATGAATACCAACCTGGCAATTGGCTTGCCCTTGAAGATGCCCTTGCTTGATAGGCTAGTTCTCCTAAGTCCCGCCCCTAGCGCTAAAGTCGTGTTTCAGTGCTTCCTGTTCGATGATTGGCTGAAGCAAAGCATGGCTAGCCGAGGATAGGCTGTGCTCAGCGGCGGGTCGAGCAACTGTAGCGAGGAAAGCAGTTGGGTCAAGATGGCGACTGCCGAGGGTCCGGTAGGCGACGGTGATCTGTGGCAGACCTGGCTTCCTAATCACGTTGTGTTCTTGCGGCTCCGGGAGGGACTGAAAAACCAGAGCCCAACAGACTCTGAGAAACCGGCTTCTTCATCATTGCCCTCATCGCCGCCTTTGCCGCCGCAGTTGCTGACGAGAAACCTGATTTTCGGCCTCGGCGGAGAGCTCTTTCTGTGGGACGGAGAAGGCAGTTCCTTCTTAGTGGTTCGCCTCCGAGGCCTCGTCGGTGGTAGTGAGGAGCCTTCGCTCTCCCAGTACCAGGTACGGCCTGGCCATCCTCGGTCGGGATCTGAACTTGTTTTGTGTTTCGTTCTCATCTTGGCTGTTTTTCATCTTCCGGTGGGTGTGCTGTTCGGGGACCACCCACTTCAAGTGGAAAAGCCCTTTCTATCCAGCATGTTTATTACTCCTACCCTGCCCGGCACTTGGCGGAACTCACGCTGTTCGGTGCTTGTGTTCCGGGGGTCTGGGAGGAAGGGGAGGACCGTGGAATACTCAATAAAACGTCGGTGATGGTTAAGTACTCTGAAGAAAACCAACAGGGTAAAGGGATAGAGAATGTGTGGCGGAGTGGCTATTTTTAGAGGTTGTTCTAGAGAACCGTATTTTATGTCGTGACACTCAAATGGGTATAATCATAACTTTCTCTTGGGTTGTGAGCCTTGCCAAGATAGTGGAATTGAAAGCAAGTTTCAAGCCTGAGAAGGAGGAACTAATTTTTAATTATTATTTCCTTTTAGCAAATTAGTTGATTCCCCAAATTGGAAATTTTTGGTATCGCGTGAAAGTGAGTGTGATCGGAAAGTATGCCAGACTTGCAGGGATCAAACATCGCTTTGTGTAGATGTTTATTTGTAGGAAATTGGCCCTCCTTTTTCATTTTAAAAGTAAGTGTGGCAACCATTTTAGTGAATAACATCTGTTACGTGCCATGGACTAATTCTTTTTGAAAGGTGATTTGATTTTAACAAGCTACTACTAATGCTTCTGCAGTTTTCAAACAAAGTCAAGAGTCTAGAATCTGTTTACTGTAAAACTTAAGTTAAGAATAATTATTAGGTGTTCAGCACCCAATTTTTTTCTTTTCTTTTTTCTTTACCCTCTTTTAAGAGATGGGGACTTTGTATGTTGCACAGGCTGGCCCTCAATTCCTGGTCTCAGATGATCCTCTCAGCTTCCCAAGTAGCTGGGACCACAGGTGCACACCATTGCATCTGGATCCAGCACACAGTATTATCATAGCATTCTATATGCTATGTAGCATTTTGCACAGTAAACTATTTTAAATTATTTATTTATTGTCTTCTTTCTAGACCACAAAATTGGGACTGTGTGTGTGTCTGTCTGTCTGTCTACCTTAACTCATTTTTGTTTCCCTAGCGCTTGACAGTGCCTGGAATATGTAAGCTCTCAGTAAATACTAGTGACCATCTTCAAAACCTTCAGACTTCTAGAATCTCAAAAACTCAAGGTTAAAAAGAAAGCAGTTATCATGCATTATAACATTGAATATTAATAAAAGCATGAGTAGTGACTTTAAGAACAACAATAACAAAAACTTAGTTTCTGGGATTGTTACAAATAAACTAATGTGATCAGATACTTATCAGAAGCAAGTTTTCAATCCTCTGATTTGAGTTGCAGTCAAAATCAAGTAGAAAGAAGTTGGGGATTGAATATAGAGAACAGAAGGAAAGAACCTCTGATGAGAAAAAAAGTCAATGTGTTTAGAAACAGCAAAGGCAGCTAAAAGACACATGCTTCCAGACATCCATAACAATAAGTAGAAGTCTCATATTTTGGAACAGTCTGATCTGAAAAGATTTTGACTTAGGATGCTTCTCTAAACATAAGAAAGGCGACATATTGGCAGTCTCATAATTTTATAACTGAAAGTAGAAAGAAAATGGGGATCTGAGGTAGTTATGAGAGAAAAAATGGAAAGTACCAATAGAAAAAGTGAATTTTTTGAGGACATATACCAAGACAAATAACTTATTGGAACGCCCTTAAAACATCATGTCTCATCTTTTCTAAATCAGCATTAAAGCAGCTTTCTGCTTGCTGCAAAAGTTCTTGAAACCATTTTATTGTATTATAATATTTATTTATTAATACTTCTGAGTTTATTTTGTCTACTCATTAAATACACACACACACACACACACACACACACACACACACACACACACACACACCGTACACATATATATTGGAGGGGTACTTGGGATTGAACCCAGGGGGTGCTTAATCACTGAATCATATCCTGAGCCCAGTTTTTATTTTATTTTGAGACATGGTCTTGTAAGTTGCACAAAGCACATATTGAGAGTCTATGATGTGCCACATGCTAAGCTAGAATACAGAGAAGAGTGGCACATTTCAAGTAATCCATAGTTATCTGTATGAATTGAGCAAGTGAAAAAGTCAGTTAGAATGCAGAATAGTGGAATTATCCAGAAGGAACTGTGAAACTACAGAAAAGATACATTTATTCTTGCTCATAAGATCAGGAATATTTTCTTGGGGAGAAAAAGGCATAGAAGCCCAGTTTCTGAGAATGTGCTAAGTCTTGTTAGCTGGCTATTAAGAAAAGTGGCACTGTAGCAAGAGAAAGGGTTGCACCGAAACAAAGAGGCATATTCATGGTTTCCCAGAAATACAGATTCATCTGATTGGTGTAAAGAACAAGTGGGGAATGGTGGAATTTGAAACTGGAGTTGTAGGTGTAGGTTGAGGCTTGAAAAATTAGGTGTAATAGTCTTTAATTATCAAAGTGGGGAAATCTAATGCATTTGTTTATTATTTCAGTCTAAATGACAAAATGTTTCATCAACTCAATTGTTGGTACTTACCCAGAATGCTTTGTTGTCCTATAATTATAGAAAATTAGAGCATTATAGTGGTTTCAAATGTCTACCATGTATATTTACATTAAAAATAACTATGTTGACCAATTTGCTTTAATTTTCAGAGATTACTTTGCATAAATCCACCTCTGTTTGAAATTTATCAAGTCTTGTTAAGTCCAACCCAACATCATGTAGCACTCATCGGAATAAAAGGACTTATGGTATTAGAATTGCCTAAAAGATGGGGGAAGAATTCTGAATTTGAAGGTGGAAAAGCAACAGTGAATTGTAGGTAAGTTGTATGTCTACATAATTTGTTATACATACAGAGAATTATTCAAGATCAGGGATTCTTAAAGTATGGTTAGTATGTTACTGTTGAACCTGACCATTCCTTATGGTCTTCAGACTGGCTTCTGTGATATGAATGCTTATAGTATATGTGTGGTTATTCTTTTATTCTGCTTGAATTGTCACATTTCTGTCTTATTGGAAGTTAGGCTATGTTTTGAATTTGTTAGAAATATGATTTTTAAAAAGCACTTATTGTCTAGGAGCCAGAAGTTTGCTTAGATGTTTATTTTTATATATAATTTCTTTTTGAAAAAAATAAAGAAAAATGAAGATCTCAATGATTACTGAAAAGAATATAAGGTGGAGACCTTTTATTAGCTCTATAGTATATAAGTGAAATCCCTTTGAACTGTATATTTTCTAGATCTGATTCCTAAATTTCAAAATAATAATGATAATTTCTTACTAGTAAAAAGATCAGATCTGATACTGTTTTGAAAAATGTTTGTAAAGCACTGATAAAATATGCTACAATTGAGAAAATGCTTTTATTTCAATTCTGTAATATTGATTGAATAAGTGCTTTGAATGCTGTCTCCTCAAGATTTAACAGAAAAATTTGAAGGAAAGAAAAGCAGTGAATATTAAAGTAGATTATTGTTTCATCCAAGTTCTAAAAATATTTTTGAAAATTTTGTTATCTTTATTTTAGCACCACTCCAATTGCTGAGAGATTTTTCACCAGTTCTACCTCTCTGACTCTAAAGCATGCTGCCTGGTATCCAAGTGAAATGCTAGATCCTCACATAGTGCTGTTAACATCAGACAATTTAATAAGGTAAATTTTCTTTTTACCTATCTTGTACCTTTGCAAGTGTGAAGGCTCTTTTTGACTTTGCTCATTCACAGCTCAGGTTTACACTAAATAAGTCACTGGATGTTCGAATGCTTTTATTTGATGGCTATTGTAACCCATTCTCATTCATAAGAATTGCCAAACTGCTTTCCCTAAGTTACATGCTTTAATTTCTGCTGTTCCTTCTCAACTAGTCTTCCTGCCTCCAGTATCTCTGTTCCTGTTCTTTCCTATAAGTACTGTTTTCCCCAAATCATCATGTCACCCTTTGGTGATAGTGTATCACAGGGGAAAGAGAATATAAGTAGAAATGAGAAATTTGAATCTTTCCTCCACAGCCACTTCTATTATCTTTGAGATCTTAAGCTTCTTTTGGAGGCAAAGGAGCTTAGTTTCCAATTTTTAAAATGAGCAGATTTGATTTGATAATTTCTGAAGCCCCTTCCAAGCTTTGTACTCTGCGATTAAATGCTCTATCCCCACTCAGTTAACTTTCTGGCTCTGTCTTTAGTAAAAAGTTTATCAGGAGAACTCAACAGAGGTATAAATATCTCCAGTTATATTTTTTTTTACTAATCACTGCTTTTTTCCTGTTCTCTACCAAATCTTGCTTCCCTGCGGAATGGTTGACCCCCTTAATAGCATCTTACACAGATTCCTTGGCTTTCTGGTTACTTTTAGTTACTAAAACTTAGTGTGTCTCATTTAAAGCTCTGCTTATGAAGTCAGTTTTCAAAACCATTATCCAAGACCCTTCATAGGTCAGACCTATGTCTGGAGGAACCTGAAATGATTAGAAAGGGTGTGCTCCTTTTTCATAATTTCACTCCACACAGTGAAGTGTAGAGATTGAGGCTGCCTCCTCTTTCTTTTCTTCTTCAGAGTGGGGATAGAGAGGGTGAGTGGGTGAGGCAGAGATCTTACCTGACTGATTGCTTTCAGGGAAGGGCAGGTATTCCTGATCTTGGTTTAATTTATTGCATCTGTTGCTTATTATCTCTAATGATATGGTAATCTCTGCACAGATGGGGTGTTTTGGGGGCCCAGTGTTTAACTGTTAGCTACCTCCATCACTGAGGAGATCTCTCTCCCATGGCTTCTGTCAGCTATCCATGCTCTAAACCCTCTCTGAAGATGGAGTATTTGCAAACTTGATATCTCCTGTGCCTTATCACCTGCTGTGGTCTTTTATATGGATCAGAAGTCTCTTCTCTGCCTTCCAAGGGCTGCAGAGAACTGGATGTACTATACCATAATCCTTTCTTAGGCTGCTCTAGCATACCTTCTTTAGAAATTTCCAGATAAATACTTAAAAGTATATGCATGCCCTTAGACCCTTGGATGTAACAGGAGATTCATCCTAGAATTTCCTTGATGGTTTATAGATTTCTGCAACTCACCTTGCATTCAGGTAGGCACCATTCTCCCTTATTATAAATACCTCCAAATATGCCTGGTCCTTCTCTAAGAGCCTTCGTTGCTCACCCATTTGGCTTTGAAGTTGAAGGTAAAGAAAGAGGGGAAGGGAAACTGCCCAATTACAAACATGATTCTGTAATCCCAAGAACTCTTAGACACTTTCTCTTCTTAACCTTCTTGTTATATATGCTGGGAAAATGGTAGTGAGATAGCATAGGTCACGTCCTTACTTCCTCATGTTAACTCATGTTAAGCTTTAAAGGAAGTATCTGGTCCCATTTTTTTCTTCTTTTTTTTAAGTACTGGGGTATCACTGAGCCAAATCCCTAGCCCTTATTATTTTTTTAATTTTAAATCAGGGTCTCATTAAGTTGTTTAGGGCCTCGCTTAGTTGCTGAGGCTGACCTCAAACTTGTGATCCTCCTACCTCAGCCTCTTGAGTGTCTGGGATTACCCAATCTGGCTGGTCCTAAATGTTGAAGATTCTTTTAAAAATATGGGTTATTTAGCGGTTCTCATTCCCTAAACTTTGACAGAAAGAACATTGAGGGCAAAAGGAAATTCCCACTCATTGTTATGAGAAACATTTCTTTTATTGTTCTCCAACAAAATATTGCTTGAATTACTACTGTGTCTTGATGACTTGTAGGAACCTTGGAAGGCCAAAGTGAATGTGCATTTATTTGGAGCAATTTGTCATTACAAATATTTCTTTAACTACTTGTCACATTTTATTGATAATGGGGTAAACCAAGTTTAAAAATTCTTGGTGGAGAACTGGGGTTGTAGCTCAGTGGTACACTCGCCAAGCATGTGTGAGGCACTGGGTTTGATCCTCATCAACACATTAAAAAAAAAAAAATTGGGCTGGGGATGTGGCTCAAGCTGTAGCGTGCTTGCCTGGCATGCATGTGGCCTGGGTTCGATCCTCAGCACCACATACAAACAAAGATGTTGT